TGTCTGGGCGGCCCTCCGTTACGATTTCAAGGCGGGGAATCGACTTCCCGTACCTGCCTGTATCGATGAGTGGGAATTAAGCATGAAGGCCGCACGAAACGCTAAAAATTCCATGATCACAATGCCAGACACACTCGAGTCGATTCTTTTGCACGCTCAACCTCAGTCTCGCGACCGGCTAGTTCCCTGGATAATGTCTTTAGCAGATTTTTTTGCTGAAGGCTCTGATGCGGGGCGGCGTGCGCGCAAAAATCCAGAGTGGGACAAGAAAACGCTCGGCGGCTGGATCACATTCGAGAAATTTATGGACGCTATAGGTCGCGAGCCCAGCCAGCTTAGACCTCCCAAAGTCGACTCAGCTACTTTGTGATCACCTGTGCCTTCGTTTCCCTGTCATATATACCATACCCGTATTCGGAACCAGTCATCTAATATTTAAAATATCTTTTTGGTGATGATGTGATAAATATAGCAGACGCGTCTTTTCGAGAGATCAAGTCAACCCAAAACGCGTCTGTGTCTGCTTGTGACTGTTTGTTAGCGGCATGAACTTGTGGACCACGGTGACCATGGCCATGATCAGTCCTGGTTCTGTCCCTTTGGCATGTCGTATTTCTCGCTTTCAACGTCTCTTGTCGACGTCCAAACCTCTACAGCACGAAAACCCGCTTGTCAGTCATGCTGTCTTTATTCTCAAATTTCCTCGACCACGCAAAGCTTACAAGTCGCGAAACCCCACAGGGACTCCCTAGAAACAACGCGCCACCCCAGATGCCGCGTCGCGGTGGGCCCATGGTCAAGCGCGGGATCCCAAATGTTCGGAAGGTCATTGCAGTCGCGAGCGGGAAGGGTGGAGTTGGGAAGAGTACAGTTGCAGGTAAGTTTCTATTGCGATATCTCTGATTCCTATGTTCAGTCTAAAATTTGACTAAAAGAACACGCATAGTGAACCTCGCCTTTGCATTGGCCTCACTGCGCGATCCAATCACAGCAGCGCGACTACGTGTTGGTATACTAGATCTCGATATCTTTGGACCCTCTGTACCGACGCTCATGGGACTGGAAAACAGTGGAGAGCCTGAGCTGACTGAGGGTAAGTCTTTCTTCTGATAATTCCTTCTCTTCCAACTTTTCCTGCGTGTTCTAACTTAACGTAACTCCTGAACACAGGTGGGGCCCTCACTCCCCTCACCAACCACGGTCTTCCGACCATGTCTATGGGATATCTCCTACCACGCTCACCCGACTCAGATTCGACACATGACACGCCTGTCGTCTGGCGGGGTCTAATGGTGCAGAAAGCCGTGCAGCAGCTGCTTTTCGATGTCGACTGGTCGATGGGTGTGCGTGGGCAGGGAGCCGACGTAGGGCTCGATGCTCTAGTGGTGGATATGCCCCCAGGAACAGGCGATGTTCCGCTGACACTTGGGCAGCTCGTCAAGGTGGACGGCGCAGTCATCGTGTCAACGCCACAGGACGTAGCATTAGCAGACGTACGGAAGGGGATTGCGATGTTGCGCAAGGTCGATGTACCAGTACGCTCTTTCTGCCTCCTCGATTCTCATGTGATACTCAAGCCTCGATACATAGATAACAGGACTCCTGCTGAATAACGCGCATTACTTCTGCCCTACGTGCTCGCCGTCCCGTCCAGAGCCGCACCATCTCTTTGGCCCACCTGACCGCTTCCATGCGACCGCTGCGCGCCTCGGCATCCCTGTTCTCGCAGAGCTGCCACTCGTGCCTGGCGTCAGCACCGCTGCGGACGCTGGAGTACCCTATGCACTTGTACAGCAGGCAAAGAGGCAAGCAGAAGACGGTGTGGGTGGGGCGAAGTGGGTGCAGGGGATGGGAGAAGTCGGAATGCAGGTGTGGGAGTCGGTAAACGCGCGGTCTGGGTGATGCGCCGGAAATAAGTGTAGAGCAAAAAGTGTTGAATATCACTCACCTCACATCATAACCCCCTCCGCCGCGGTGTTGAATCGTCCGTGCATGCGAGCGAGCGTGCGAGCTATGGTCCCGTTCGAGGTACGCGCCGCGCCGTTATTATATCCCACCTGCCACATCTTTTTTGCGTCATGCGTCCGTTCATCCGACTCTTCTTCATCAACCTGCTTCCCACCCACCTTCTACTGACAACCTGGGCTAGCTGTGGATTCAAGGGGGTGCATGTCTTTACACGCGAGCTCACGCTCAAAGGTATGGAGGTGAGTGTCGATGTCGATTGTTGGCTTTTGTTTTTTGTGTGGGTGGCGGCGATTTCAACTTGGTCGGACTCATCGTTGAGACATTTGTCAAGTCAGACAACTGCTCTGGTTTAGTTATTTATGTTACAACTATTATGTGCTTCTTCGATGTGCCTTTAAAACCACTTTCCAGACACTGGTTGGCAGTGGTAGAACCCGAAGGTTCAAGTGTCTAGTTGCGCCACAAAGTGATCATATATCCCTACTTGAAAAATATATAATTGACTTGATCTTCATCCATCTAATCTCGCATTTGTATTTAATTCTTGGTGAGATATACTGGAAGTGAGTTATCCACTGTGTAAATAAATACCCGTAACGTCATGGGTCGATGGCGTAGCTGGTTATCGCATCTGTCTAACATGAAAATTTGGCTATCAAGTAATGTTATACACAGAAGGTCCTCAGTTCGAACCTGGGTCGACTCATGTTTTGCCTTCCTTGTATACCTTCTGACTGCCCGGAGGGCGCACTTGACTCGCTGAACGTACGGGTCGATGGCGTAGTTGGTTATCGCGTCTGTCTCACACTCAGTTGAATCATCAAGAAAAGTGCACAGGAGGTCCTCAGTTCGAGCCTGGGTCGACTCATTTTTAGTGTCCAGTATCGTGTAGTCAAAGCCTCCACCCCTGAACCGTGGCCTGGCACAAATTCATGGGTTTGTTGAAATTCATGGTAGTACTACTTCATAGGTATCCTCTAGGAAAGATAAATGCGGCGATGTATTTTAGATGGTTTTCTTTTGTGTAGTAAGTACTAGTGTTGCATGGCATGATTCACCCAGAGACGGCTGATGAGGAATCAGGATGGTTGGGGATGGCATTTGCCAGGGCTGAGCGCTACTAGCTGGTGAAAAAGTAACCCTTGGATGCGACTTGGGGCAGTGAAATATTGATCTGGCCAGGTTCTGCTAGTCCATGGTATCGAAGATCGAGAATAACGCGTCGCAATCGCTGTCTGAAGCGTTCCTCGCTAAGAAGCTCATCCATCAGTAAATCGGGAAATTCTTGGTATGCCATTTTTCCAGTTGCCCATATTTGGCAATTGTTTGGCAAGGTTGCCGAATGATGGTAATGGATTATCAGAGGGGTATAATAGTTACAACAGATTTTATGGGTTCTTAGAACAGTCTCAATTATTATTTCAAGCTAAAATCTTCTTCAATATTATTTTGTTCTGATATGAGAGTAAGATTTGGTCCAATTATTTTGATTGTTATCGGAAATGCAGGTCAAAAACTTCTTCATGTATAGAATACACCTCTGTAGATATTTTTATTGTCTGAACGGTAAAGCTAAGTGAATTTAT